TAAAATTCTGATCCTAAAAAATTCATCAAAGAACCTTCTACTTCAGTTTTTATTTCTTAATAACAATAATCACAAGAAACCTGAATGCTAAAGAAGGAAGTTTGTTCTGACAATGATCTCAACACGCTGTAAGAAATATGGAGAAACCTATTTGATCCAGGTTATTACCCCAGTTAAAAAACTATCTAAAAATATTCTTCCTCCGTTTGAATTATGACATAAGGCTCTCAAGATTTTAGGTGTAATTAATAATACAAACATTTTGTTGCAACATTGATTGGAAGGAATAAATTTAGAATTTATTACTTTCCTAAATTGACCTGAGCTACAATAAAAGTATATTGTAGCCAAGGACTACTGCTTCGGTAAAATAATGTTTGTCGATTATTATCAAAACTTAGTTAACTAAGGATGCTGAAATATTTGAACATATTGAGCTAGTGTGAAATGATTATTTTAAGAAAAGCAGAGTTGTAATGTTACATTCGCTTTGTTATAAATGACTTACACTCTTTTCAGTAGAAACAAATTGAATTTTTGTAAAAAGATTTTTCATCATGCTAATTTCATGAGTAGAATACAAGACATTAGTAAATTGCTTTATTAATGATAAGATAGTTGCAAAGCAGATAATTGAATTGATCAAATTCAAATTGGCTCAAATCCCTTAAGGTCGATTTTGTGACCATCCCCTTTCTTTTTCAATTAGTATTTTATTGCAAAAAATAATAGTTATTGCTTATTATAGGATTTGGATTAGTTTTGACAATCAAGATCAGACTTAAAATATCCTCTGTTGGAAGATTAGAAAAAACCTCAATGACGATTATGCTGCCACAAAACAAAGAGAAATAAGGATGGAATGAAATATGTTTAGATCAACTATGTCATGGTTCGGTAAAACATAAAGGGGAGTATGAATTAATTTAGTTAGTTGTATAAATTCTCAAGGTCATAAACCTCTAACAACATTACTAAAATTTCATTAAAGAAACTTGATGATGGTATTAAAATCTCTTTCAAAAAAGAGTTCTAGGTATTTTAAATTATTATATTAAACTCTAGGAATACGTAAATCCTTCAAAAAGAGAGAATATATAATTATATTCTTCCAAACAAAATATAGTGATGTGACATTCTTTTATTAATAAAGCCTATCTTTAAAAACTATTAAAGTCATAGAATGGATAAAATAATTATGATTAGAGAATTTACTGAGCAAACGAACGATAGTTTAAGTATGTGTACTTTAATGAAAACTGGGCTCCCTCTACAAATTTGAAAAACAAAAATAATAGAAGTTTGTACACGGCAGTGTCTCATTGTTTTAAATAAAATTCATCCCTATTTACTCATTCAAGAATAATTTAAGCGGATTAGACCATGACTCATTACATAAAACTGTTCAATTTATTAAAGGTCCTAAAATATGTAGAGAATACTTAAATGCAAGTTTTGTTGAGAATAATATTTGGCTTTTTCACTTTATTTCTTAATTGAGGTAAATAGTTAAAATGATAATAAAAAAATTAAAAATGAATTTAATTTTGGAGGATATTGTTATCCTAAATTACAAAGTTACAAATACAAAATGAGAGAATCTCAGGCTAAGAAAGAATTACCTTTATTGAGCAAGGTCATTACATAAGGGACAGAGAATTTTAGAGTCTTGAATTGCCTTCTAGAGTGGCAAGATTTGAAAACTCTTTTTTCTTCATAAAATATTAAATATGAATTATGTGATCATTTGGAAACCAAAGAATTATATTTAAGTGAGATTTCAAAAGAGAATTTGATGAGCTGGGAAATCCTAAAGAGATAAAGGCCCTTTCAATTCTGAGTGATGATAAATTTTCTGATTTCTTATCTAATTCAATAATCTGTAAAGTAATTATTATAAAATAATGTTTCTAAATTATAATCACTGTAAAATCAAAGAGTTTATTTAGACCTTAATTAATGAAAAAGTTATGCATCTTGTTGGAGGTTACCAGCATCATTTCGCTAAAGTAATGCATTATTAACAAGCTTTGTAATTATCAAAATATTATAATGTTAGACTTTAAAAATATGTTGAATAAAAT